TTTTATGGTTTATGGCGATGATTAAGTTTATTATTGCAATAAAAAATCGTAGTGCCGATTCTGATTGAAATTATTCATACTTGAACATAAAACGCTGTTTATTGCTGACGCATACGAATTTAATACATTACGATGTTAGTTTATTTCCACTCGATCTTATTACATGAAGATTTATTAATAAAAAAAATGGGTGCGTGTACTTATGTACGCGCGTAAGAAGTAATACTTTATTTGTATAAAGTTTTTTTTTAAATATTAAATAATGCTAATAACACTTTTTTTTACGAGTGTACATGCGCGAAAGTTCACCTGCGGCTATATTCAGACTTGCCAAGTTACGTCGGTCGTATTGTAACGAGCGATTTAGTGGGCAACTTCATTTCTGTTAATTTTGTGTCACGATGCGCGCGCATCGTAAAATTTCATCTCTCATCAATTTTTCATAACGCGCCTAAAGAAGTATAACTTCAAAAATTTTGAAGTATAACCTACAGATTAGACAAACTTACCGGATCAACAAAGCCTATTTAAATTAATCATATAATTAATATCGATAAAATGTTTTATTTCAGCTGTCTAATCGATTCTTAAGTCATTAGATTTCTTATCTGTTTACATTGGCAGTCGTTTTTAGTGCACCAGAAAAAAAAAACCTATTTAATGGCTAATGCGATTGTAACATCTCTATTTGATTTAGGCCGGTCCGTTCTTAGAACTTAATGCTCCTGACGTAATCGCCAATGACGAATGTGTTAACGCAGTGATTCTCAACCACTGTTCCGCGGCACTTTTGTGTGCCGCCAAATTTCAAAAGTGTGCCGCCAAATTTTGCGAATATATAATAATGTTAATATTATTAAATTATATCATTTTATAAGAAAACTATTTTAAACATGAATATATATTTAAACACAGAAAAAAAAAAATTAAAGTATAGTTTAGTTTATTTCGTATATTAAAATTTTTTGATAAACTATTTATGCATTGTGTTGTAGTAAGTAAATAATTTTTATCTTTTTTTTTTGTGTGCCGCCAAATTTTGAAATCGTTAAATATGTGCCGCAACAAAAAAAAAAGGTTGAGAATCACTGTGTTAACGTGTTACGTTTTATTCCAGTTGCTGCAGAGGCGATACAAAATTCTTCGGGCGAAAACAATCGTATGATATGAAAAGAAGAATGATTTTGCCTTGATGAAGTATTTACGATTTTATTGTGGACGTTTAAGATTACTGGTTCCGTGTCCAAATCTTTACTTTCAAGCGACTTTTTTTTTTATTGCTTAGATGGGTGGACGAGCTCACAGCCCACCTGATGTTAAGTGGTTACTGGAGCTCGTAGATATCTACGACGTAAATACGCCACCCACCTTGAGATATAAGTTCCAAGATCTCAGTATAGTTACAACGGCTGCCCTACCCTTCAAACCGAAACGCATTACTGCTTCACGGCAGAAATAAGCAGGGCGGTGGTACCTACCCGCGCAGATTCACAAGAGGTCCCACTACCAGTGCAGACTGTTTAAATTCACAAACAAACTGACGAATCACAGAAATTGACACACGAATTCATCATTAGTGGGATTGGTAAGCGTTTCCACCAGTCCTGTCCATATCAGCATTCATATCAATATCATATATTCCAAACGTATAATTTAACTCTAGTTTTACCAATCTTTTACCAACATAATCCATCTACAGTCACTGCTAAAATTTCTCTAGTTACAGGTTCATGTACAATAAAATCTAAAATCAATATTGTTTGAGCGTATTCTATAGGAACTTTCTCTAAGCGAATAACGTCAATAGATCCGCTGACAGTGTCAAGCTTCGAGACATCGCTGTCGTTTTGTTGCTGTATTGTAATATACGCACTAAAGTAATTTAGTTAACTCTGATTTTTTTGTTGTTGCTTAGATGGGTGGACGAGCTCACAGCCCACCTGATGTTAAGTGGTTACTGGAGCCCATAGACATCCACAACGTAAATGCGCCACCCACCTTGAGATATAAGTTCTAAGGTCTCAAGTATAGTTACCACGGCTGCCCCGCCCTTCAAACCGAAACGCATTACTGCTTCACGGCAGAAATAGGCAGGGTGGTGGTAACTACCCGCGCGGACTCACAAGAGGTCCTACCACCAGTAAACAAAGTTTTACTTTTAATAAAAGATTCAGCATGCTTAATATTTTTCAATGCTGAGAATCCATTTCAAATTAAGTTGCAATCGCTTTGATATTGTGAATTTGGTTTTCCTTTTTCGAGACACGAGGACGGTGTTTCGAATGTTCTATTCAGACGTCAGACAGACAGAATTTTAAATCAGACAGCATGATTGCTTTTTTAACTCAACGCCTGAATGAGCTAACGTCCACCTGGTTTTAATTGATTACCGGAGTTCAGCACAACGCGAATGTCGTCACCCACCCCACCTTTGAAAACGGAACGAGTTCGCTGTGTGGGATCACTCGCCAACATTGATGAACTTCGGTTTTCAATCAATAATTCTATTTTTTATTGCCCTTTCAGGCAGACGAGCATACTGCCCAACTAACGGTGAGTGGTTACCGCCACCCATGGACTTCAGCAATGCCACGGGCAGAACCGAGCCGCTGCCTGTCGTAAATTGTAAAATGTCATTGATTAATAACTATTTATGATCTTTGCTAGTAGCACCATACTTTATGAGTTACAATGTTATTTATTCGCGTTATACAATGCTATTTTTTTAAATAGACATTTTTACGAAGTAAGGCATGCCCTTTCAATAAAAATCTGGAGCGAAGGGTAACACAGTTACAGAGTTTCAATGAATATGCAATTCCCTTACGAGAACTTTTCGCTGGCCCCAACAACAACCTCTAGGGAATTACACAACTTTTTGGGCAAAAAAAAGCTTCGAAACTGCCTTGTTTAATAAATAAACTTTTTGTTGGACCTAAGAACGTCCATCTCGAAAACAGAAAATAAAAGTGCTGAATTTTTACAATTCACCAATATTTATTTCCGACAGCGGATTCCTTTATTTATGGTCAAAATCCTTTTGAGTGTGTCCATTTCAATGAATAACTCATCCGAGTTCAAGATTAAATCTAACATGTAACCGATAAACGAGCTTAAAGGTCAGTGATTTTATAAAAATGTACCATCGGGAATACATACTACCGAACTATCCGTTTGTAACGAAAATAGATATATCGAGGCATATTAATGGTTATTTATACGAATCTTTTTTTGTTCGCGTTTATGTTAAACAATGAGACGCGGCGTGCCTTTAATTGAACATTCTGTTCATTCGGATATTCAATTTACTGCTACTCTTTTTTTTTCCTACCTCAGCTGATGGTCTAGAGCACCCTATCCCAAAGTGGGCGATAACGCCCCCTTGTGGGCGCTGCAGGCCCAATGGGGGGCGGTAAGAGACCCAGAAAAAAATGGGGGCGTTGTGTAGAGGCTTGGGAGGTGATTTGTAATTTCATCTAGGACTCTTAGACACCGACTGAGCTCCCGCTATAGTGGTTTTTAAGTAGGTGAAAAAATTGGGGCGCTAAAAATAATTTATTCTCAAAGTGGGCAGTAGACAAAATAAGTTTCGGAGCCACTGGTCTAGAGAGACCATATCAGCGTAACCTTAACTAGTAGGTGAGCTCACAAGGCTCAAACCTGACGATGTTGCTAACACTGGCCCTAGCAAGGGCAGCGCTTCGCAGTATCTACCACCGGATCGAAAACGCGACCCACTGACAAGAGCCGTGTCTGTGGGTTAATTTACTCGCCGAGCCCTTCGTCGCAAGCGACGGGTTCGACGAGAACGATGAGCGGTACTGCTATCCTATATCTAAATAGCACTTGGCAAATGGTACTAGGTACATTATATTCTAATAAATATCAAGGGGTGAAAGGCTATTTGGTTTAAGCGACATTTTTTGCAGCTTTACAGGAGAGTCATTTAAAGGCGAAAAATTGGAAAAGATATCATAACAAAAAATATTCTTTAGCTATTTGAATGGAGTAAACATAATTGAAGTTTAATTAATAACATCGAGCTGTTGATGCTACCAGTAATATCAAATAAAACGGATCTTTAATTACAAAGATAAATGTCTCACGTGTTAAACAAAATGTCCAAAATGTCTTAAGACTTGGCGCACGCGCTCGTTAAGTTTTGGTAAGGATTTTCATCTGATCAGTCCAACGCATAAGGTTAATCTAATTATTAGAAGCATACCGTTATCAAGTCAAGGCTGATTACTCGCAATGGTGAATTTGAGAACAGTTTATTGACACATCGAATGCTGACGTCACCACGTGCTCGCTCAACTAACGCGCACTCAAGAATAGTACAAAATATTCCAGCAATCGATAACGATAGTACCTACTTTGACGATGCTCGTAAAGTGCAGAGTAAATTTTAACGGGTGCTTTATCCTATTTACGGGCCTGTGTGTGTATGCGACGAGAGAGTTACGGAAACTTTAGCAGTTAAGTTTTTATATTGTGACTTTTTTTATTTCTAGGTTGGGTAGACGAGCTGAGGGCTCATCTGGTGTTCATAGGAGTGCATATATGTACATCTATAACGTAAATGCCACTGACTTTAGGAGTTCTAAGGTTTCAAGTACAGTACAACGACTGCTCAACCCTTCAAACCGAAACGGTGGTGGTAGGACCTCTTGTGAGTCCGCGCGGGTAGGTACCACCGCCCCGCCTATTTCTGCCGTGAAGCAGTGATGCGTTTCGGTTTGAAAGGGTGGGACAGCCGTTGTACCTATACTGAGATCTTGGAACTTATATCTCAAGGTGGGTGGCGCACCACTTAACACCAGGTGGTCTGTGAGCTCATTACCGCTTCACGGCAGAAATCGGCAAGGTAGTGGTTCCTACCAGTACGAGCTTGATCAAATACGTTTCCTAAACTCTTCATGTAGATATCTTCATTCGTGGGTGTTCTTCTTGATTGAATAGAGATGTAATAGCTTGATGATAATGAACTAATCACTTACCGTCTGTGGGAGATGTGTAGAGTTTCTTGCATAATTCTTGCGGTCCACCGAGCGCGTTGATTTTGGCCATGCCCTCGGCGCCGCGCGTCTCCATCAGCTCGCGCAGCTGCCGAAGGGAGACGCCATATTGCGCCGGCCTTCCCTCCACGGTGGCCATGGTGCCGGGCCCGCGGCCGCCGCCCGCACCAAGCCCGACAACCCTCTAGATCTGCAACAACAACAAATAAAACATTAAACATTTTCTCGCCGGATCTTCGCAGTGGGTCGCGTTTCCGATCCTGTGGTAGATTCTGCGAAGCACTGCTCTTGCTAGGGTTAGTGTTAGCAACGACGACAGGTTTGAGCCCCGTGAGCTCATCTACTAGTTGAGGTGACGCAGATATGATCTCTCAAGACAATCAGCTTACTTAGGAAAAAAAAATAGCTGTCACAACAAATTACCTAAATTTAGGTTAGTATTTTTGTTATTGCCCTTGTAGGCAGACGAGCATACGGCCCACCTGATAGTGAGTGGTTACCGTCGCCCATGGACTTCAGCAATGCCAGGGGCAGAGCCAAGCCGCTGCCTATTTGAAATTTAATTTAAGCTGATAATAAATTCGGCGAAAAAGAAGTCGAGACATGTTTTGTTTCAATTCCATGTGCCCAAGTACTCAAATCGTAAATGTTTGACGTGCACAAAGGCAGGAAATTGAAATGACAGAAACATACTTTTAACATAATAGATATATATAATCACGAAAGAATTTCTCTTCAAAACGTATACCCGAGTAGGTACGTGTAGAAAGTCGACTCGAAAAAGTAACAATACGGACGTTTCCATTTTTTGCTTTCGCCCCGCCCACAATACGAATAGAGCTTGAAGGATACATTTGTTACGATTATTATTCACAGAGGATTATATAAACAGTTCTCTGTCGCCGGATTCGTCGTCCGCCCACTTCCCTTATCGAAAAAAAAAAAAAAATCCTCGGTACAAAAAGGCTTTTGTTACACAGCCTACTTGATTAAGCTAAGCTAAAGCTTTTCAAGGGGAAATTCACCCCTAACGTAAATATTAATTTGAGGTCACTTGTGAACTGAAATCTGTAACGTCGTTAAGCATCTAATGAAATAATTTAGAACAACCCTAACGCTGGAACTGTTCTATAATGACTTAAATTGGGATAGTTTACGTGGCAATTGCGACACAAGTACTAGTCATAAAATCGCTCATGATTTGCGTTATAAGCTCGATGGTCATTAACTATTGACCATTGGAAGCGGACTTCATACTGGGATTGCAAGATTTGGGCAGCTTCATAACTTATATACTGTACTAACATAAAAAACGATAAGTACAGAAATTGTTGCCAAGAAAGAAAAAAAGTTGGTATAAGCTGTTTCCTCAAGTACAAAATACAAAGGTTATACCATACATTATATATAGGTCGTACGCGGACGTATCAACAAAGATTACAAACCTTACTCATCTAGAGGTCGGAGTAGGTAGATTGATTTAAGGTCGTTGACGTCAAACGTAGAGGATAATATGGGTATGCCTCCAAAATACTGGAACTTCATATTTATTGTGATATTTGTTCCGGAATTTTGAAATTAGCATGAATCTGTGTTTAAGGTGAAAAACGTATTAATAATATTAATCTACGCTACCAGTGCTAGCTAATGGTGAAAGAAATCATTATTTTATTTTATACAAAAACACCTTGGAATAATTACACCGTATTTGGTCCCTTTCTATTCAATTAGAAATGACGCTTGGCGGTATGAGACAAAACTTAGACAGGACTTTTTGTTACCTTATCTCATAAATATAGAAATTGTATCCGATGAGGATTCAAAATATATTTTTTTCAATTTAATAAAATAATCATTATACACAAAATGGCATGTCCATATTATAATATATTGACGCAAGTATATAAAATTAATCTACCTACTCCGACTAGATGACATTAACAATGCACAATATAACACAGAAATGTTCAGTTTATATTCGTAACTTAATAGAATCGGTACTAATATGAATAGCCAAGTTCTAAATTTCGATCAGCGCGCAAACTCCATAACCCATAGCGTCGAGTCGAAGTTCCCCGATGGCCTAATTGCTGGCCAATCAACAACACTCAACCCTGTTACAGTTGCCAATACCGGCCCTCTTTGTAAACTCAATCTATGACCAGACTACATCAAACCGTAGGAGATAAGGAACTTTAAAGCGCAAGATAGCCAATCTGCGAAACTTCTGCAAGGCTCAAAATGATCGACAAGGAAGCCGAACTGATAACGCATACCATATTTACAAGGACCATTCAAATTTGGTTTACGCAACCTTAAAACCGAAGACCGACTGGAGACCGAAAATTCATTAAGTTTCATATTCGAACCAGCCGAAGACAATTAATATGCAAACGATCCTGTTAAGGGCGGCACCCGTTTAATCAACAGATTAACGAATTATTCAACGTCCTGTAAGATTACTGAATAAATTTATAATTGCCGGAACTTTTTAAATGCAAAATAAACGTCCCTATGTTTTCACGATTTGAATTGATTTGGTACCGATATTTCTATTGTAATACGGTACTTAACAAATATTCATATCGTATAATAACAATAAAACCCGCAAAAACAACAGTTTGCATAATTATTACTGCGTAGGGCGGTCTTGTCAGCCCGCACGGTTAGTAACCACTATCCTGCCTATTTCTGCCGTGAAGCCGTAATGCCTTTCGTTTTGAAGGGCGGGGCAGCCGTTGTAACTATAATTGAGNATATTTCTATTGTAATACGGTACTTAACAAATATTCATATCGTATAATAACAATAAAACCCGCAAAAACAACAGTTTGCATAATTATTACTGCGTAGGGCGGTCTTGTCAGCCCGCACGGTTAGTAACCACTATCCTGCCTATTTCTGCCGTGAAGCCGTAATGCCTTTCGTTTTGAAGGGCGGGGCAGCCGTTGTAACTATAATTGAGACCTTTGACACAAGAGGTCCTACCACCAGGTTTTATAATAAGTCCAAATATCGAATTTCGCGCAGGTCTTTAAACCAGAACGTTGCAACTTTGAAACATGGCACACACCGCTCTATGCTTACTTTTCTGAAGGCCATAGTTTTTATATATTACTTACATGATATCTTCATAGCTCAACCTGCTAGAGCACAATCCCGTACCTTTCTCCTTATTTCATTTATAAGGGGAGCGCACATTTCTAGTTCGAGTCTTCTGTTCTTAGGTCACATATTCTCAATTCATTTAAATAATGTATACCGTTAAATTTCGACTTTGATTTGAAATACTTATTTCCTTATTTATTTATTTATTTATCGTATGGCATTCGTTTACACTGCGTGGTTATAATTTAAATTTACAGTTTGTGAAATAATCGATAGCTTCTTCTGTTACATTTTTGAGATCTTCCACTTGGCCTGCGAATTTCGCTAGTGGGCATTCCATGACAATGTGGCCCATAGTTTGCTCTGGGCATCCTTATTTAATTTATAACATACATACGATAAGGGAGTTATGATCTGTTGACGTGGAACAATAACTTCCGCTCGGATACGGGCTAACGTTCTTCATAAAACTCGGCACCTACCACCGGCTTTCGCGATTGTGTATTCAGTACGCTTTATGGGGTAGTTAACCCTCTCTCTCTTTGGCAGCCTCTCGGCATCTTCGCTGCTGGCTGTGTAGATGACATTTCAATTTGGATCGTAATAACTTATTTACATTTCGTCGTTCAATGTTGCAACGTTTTTAAGTGGTAGAAAAAATATCCTTTGTACGCGTGTATTAAGTCATTCCGAATCATCGTGATTTAAATACGTGTCTAGACAAAATAAAAATAAAAAAATCACATCATTGGCAAAAGTCAAACAATTAACAGATTTTTTTATTGCCTAGATGGTTGGACGAGCTCACAGCCCACCTGCTGTTAAGTGGTTAATCGAGCCCATAGACATTTACAACGTAAATGCGCCACCCACCTTGACATATAAGTTCTAAGGTCTCAGCATAGTTGGCTGCCTCAGCCTCCAAACCGAAAAGCATTACTGCTTCACGGCAGAAATAGGCAGAGCGGTTGTACCTACCCGTGCGGACTCACAAGAGGTTCTACTACCAGATAGGACATTTTGTTAAAAAAAAACGTCTAAACCACCCCGAGCTACATAATTTAATCCAATCACATCGAGGACAGTACAACAACATAATAATATAGCACATTCATACCTTCCTCATATAGCAGCTTTATCTTTAAATCCCTAAAGTGCGAAGCTCTCATACCGACCTCGTGAAAGCGTGTAACAACAATGGTCGCTTGTCTTAAATTATGTATGACACTGCAGTGAAGCGGCAGATGACTTTATTGGATCGTAAACGGGGTATAATGGCTTCTTGCAGGTGTCTATTTCGATGCCCGAAGTTTATCCGTAGCGCTGTTACTCTTACTAGAATTTAGGTCGCAGATAGATGAAAGGAAACTACTTAAATGATCTGATACAGAGACTCTTCCGCGTTATTCGAGCTTTTCCTGTGTTTTACTGCTGATGATATTGAATTATCTCTATATATAAAAATGAATTGCTGTTCGTTAGTCTCGCTAAAACTCGAGAACGGCCGGACCGATTTGGCTAATTTTGGTATTGAATTATTCGTGGAAGTCCAGGGAAGGTTTAAAAGGTGAGAAAATATAAAAAAGCTCGGAATTATATAAAAACAAACAATTTTGTTTTTCCTTTGATGTGTCTTTTATTTATCGATTGCGGCACTACGAAGTCTGCCGGGTCAGCTAGTACTGATATAAAAATTGGTTATTACTGATTTTTTAATGGCATCCTTACTTTAATAGGATTGGAAATTATGATCGAAAGCTGTATGTTTCGTTTTTTAAATTAATTTATCGCCGTGGTCGATAATTCCTTAAGGTTCCTCCAAAAAATTTTTTAAAGCGCATGTTGTACCGCTGTCTGTGCATTTGTTTACTGCGCCGCGACTGAGCTGTGGCCCGTCACAAAACAAATATGTTTACATTATAAAAGCCCAAGTAGGTCAGTAACAGCAAACTTGGCTCTTGATCGCAAACAATCTTGATTGAAAGTGCCTGATCGGTTAGCGGGCAGGATTAATCGAAGTGTGCCCCGGACACCGCTCCAGACTTGCGTAGGTAAATGATTAATGGCAATACGCTCTGATGT